CAGGTGTAGAACAGCACTGACCCTGCCTTGACAGGTGTAGAACAACAGCACTGACCCTGCCTTGACAGGTGTAGAACAACAGCAGTGACCCTGCCTTGACAGGTGTAGAACAGCAGTGACCCTGCCTTGACAGGTGTAGAACGCAGCAGGACCCTTGCCTTGAAATTTGTAGAACAGCAGCAGTGACCCTGCCTTGACAGGTGTAGAACAGTAGTGACCCTGCCTTGACAGGTGTAGAACAGCAGCAGTGACCCTGTCTTGACAGGTGTAGAACAGCAGCAGTGATCCTGCCTTGACAGGTGTAGAACAGCACTGAACCTGCCTTGACAGGCATAGAACAGCAGCACTAACCCTGCCTTGACAGGTGTAGAACAACAGCAGTGACCCTGCCTTGACAGGTGTAGAGCAGTAGCAGTGACCCTGCCTTGACAGGTGTAGAACAGCACTGACCCTGCCTTGACAGGTGTAGAGCAGTAGCAGTGACCCTGCCTTGACAGGTGTAGAACAGCAGTGACCCTGCCTTGACAGGTGTAGAAACAGCAGTGACCCTGCCTTGACAGGTGTAGAACAGCAGTGACCCTGCCTTGACAGGTGTAGAACAGCAAGTGACCCCCCTTGAAGGTGTGAAAAGTAGCAGTGCCCCTGCCTTGACAGGTGTAGAACAGCAGCAGTAAACCCTGCCTTGACAGGTGTAGAAAAAACAGCAGTGACCCTGCCTTGACAGGTGTAGAACAGTAGCAGTGACCCTGCCTTGACAGGTGTAGAGCAGTAGCAGTGACCCTGCCTTGACAGGTGTAGAACAGCAGTGACCCTGCCTTGACAGGTGTAGTACAGCAGCAGCGACCCTGCCTTGACAGGTGTAGAACAGCAGTGACCCCACCATGACAGGTGTAGAACAGCAGCAGTGATCCTGCCTTGACAGGTGTAGAACAACAGCAGTGACCCTGCCTTAACAGGTGTAGAACAGCAGTGACCCTGCCTTGACAGGTGTAGAACAGTAGCAGTGACCCTGCCTTGACAGGTGTAGAACAGCAGCAGTGGCCCTAACTTGACAGGTGTAGAACAGCAGCAGTGGCCCTAACTTGACAGGTGTAGAACAGCAGTGACCCTGCCTTGACAGGTGTAGAACAGCAGTGACCCTGCCTTGACAGGTGCAGAACAGCAGTAGTGACCCTGCCTTGACAGGTGTAGAACAGCAGTGACCCTGCCTTGACAGGTGTAGAACAGCAGTGACCCCACCTTGACAGGTGTAGAACAGTAGCAGTGACCCTGCCTTGACAGGTGTAGAACAGCACTGACCCTGCCTTGACCGGGCCGCGGGGGCGTTGACCCCCGGAACTCTCTCCAGGTAAACTCCAGGTAAACAGGTGTAGAACAGCAGTGACCCTGCCTTGACAGGTGCAGAACAGCAGTAGTGACCCTGCCTTGACAGGTGTAGAACAGCAGTGACCCTGCCTTGACAGGTGTAGAACAACAGCAGTGACCCTGCCTTGACAGGTGTAGAACCAGCAGGGCCCCCTGTCTTGACAGGTGTAGAACAGCAGCAGTGACCCTGCCTTGACAGGTGCAGAACAGCAGTAGTGACCCTGTCTTGACAGGTGTAGAACAGCAGCAGTGACCCTGTACTGACAGGTGTAGAACAGCAGCAGTGACCCACAAAGGGTTAAAACCATCCCATCCCTCTTCCACCCCCACATTACTCTCACTAGCCCACCTTTATCACAATAGTGGCTTATATCTCACCCTGACCTCCTCCTCCCTTATTAAGAGGTACATGTGGCAAAAGGAAAATGGCAACTTGCTGTTGTCATTTTCCTTGTGCCACATCTACCTCTTACTCTGTGACAACATCTAAATAATGATCCGATATATCTGTTCCCCCTCTATAAACATGCACATCCTGAGGTCTACCGACAAGTTATAAGACTTATACACCAAATGTACAGTACTTTTAATTCATACCAACAATAATGCAACTACAGTGGACCCTCGGTTATTGGCCGTAATTTTTTCCAGGTCAGCAAAAAAACAAAATAATATTTCCCACAAGAATAAATTTAAATGCAATTAATCCATTCCAGACATCCAAAAATATTAACAAAAAATACATTTTTTAAAGATTAACTCTAGTTTTAAATACAGGTCTCCCTCAACATTCACGAGGTTAGGGGATCAAGAGCCTCGCCAATGTTGAAAACTGTGAATGTTTGGTTCCCCAATATATTGTAGGGAAATATAATACAATACTGCATCCTTAACTTGTTGAACCATGAATAGTCATAAAATACATGAAAACGTCATAAAATATTGTGCTAAATACATACATGTTATGGTTTAATATGTCATTAAATACCACTGCCTCAACCACTGCAGCGCATTTCTCATATTTTGGTACAATTTCTTTCTTCAATTCTATTGTGTTTCTCAATTTCTTTACCAAAGGGCTGGCACTAGCAAGTTTCTTTGGGCCCATGGTTAATTATGTAGCAGTTGCACTCAATCAACACCAAACACAATGAATTATTGTTTAATGTTTTTAAGAGCACGGAGGTTAATGCTCACTCCAGCATAAACAAAGCTACACTGACTGACGATGCCTTAGCCACTTCCTCCACCACTGCCTCAACCCAAGTATTTTTGTACAATTTCCTTCTTCAATTCTATCGTATTATTATTATTATTATTAATACGATAGAAATGAAGAAGGAAATTGTACAAAAATACGAGGGTTGAAGCAGTGGTGGAGGAAGTGGTTGAGGCATCATCAGTCAGTGTGGCTTTGTTTATGGTGGAGTGAGCATTAGTCTTGGTGCTCTTCCAAACATTCCGCAATAATTCATCGTGTTTGGTGCTTGTAGATTGAGTGCAACTGCAGTGGTTGAGGCAGCGGTAGAGTCAGTGGTAGAGTCAGTGGTAGAGTCAGTGGTTGAGGCAGTGGTTGAGGCAGCGGTTGAGGCAGCGGTTGAGGCAGCGGTAGAGGCAGCGGTAGAGGCAGCGGTAGAGGCAGCGGTAGAGGCAGTGGTAGAGGCAGCGGTAGAGGCAGTGGTTGAGGCAGTGGTACTTAATAACATACATGTTAATAATAATAATAATAAATAATAATAATAATAATAATATTAAATGCTAATAATAATATGTATTATCATTATGAGGCAGTACAATTAATGATACAAACATGCATTTTTAAGTTTGTAATAATGGCTTTAATAGCATAAATGTTATTAAATATCACTGCCTCAACCACTGCTTTAACTATTTCCTCAACCACTGCCTCAACCACTCCATCTACATCCACCAAACAATGAATTATTTTGAAATGTTTGGAAGAGCACAGAGACTTGCTCACTCCAGTATAAACAAGACCACACTGACGATACCTCAACCACTTCCTCCAGCACTGCTTCAACCCTTGCATTTTTGTACAATTTCCCTCTTCAATTCTATAGTATTAGTATCATTATCATTATCATTATTATTATTATTATTATTATTATTATTAGCAGTAGGAGAAATGTTGATTCTTTGCAGTGTTCAAGAGTAAACATATAATGTCACTGTCCAATACCTGTCCGAATGGCCATTCCAACATGCAGTCATGAATGGGTTGACATTATTTATAATGTAGTTTAATAGCAAATAATGAACAAACAAAACTCGCACCACACTGAGTGGTGGGAGGGCTGGCTGCCAGTTGAGGGGGTCAGCGGGAGGGTAGAAGGGACTCGCAAGTGGTGGGAATCTTAAATATGATTTGGCGCCTGGGAATTTGGCGGTTGGGAATTTGGCGGTTAGGAATTCACGAATGTGTGAAGTCCGTGAAAGTTGAAAACGCGAATGTTGAGGGAGACTTGTACACAAAACAATAAGAACTAAATAAAATGACTAATGAAATAGATAAATGAACATTTAAATAACTTTTACCTTTATTGAGTCTTGTTGGCGCATGCAAAATGGCAAGGAGCAGAGAGGAAGGTGAGCTTATTGTTTGGAGACAGGACAAAATGCTTAAATATGAGGCTATTATCGACTTATTTATTTATCACAATTCATTTAATATGACATAATAAACAATATTAATAATATAGAAATATGGTATATACTCTAGAATGAATAAAATATGTCATTACACTGTGGTGGTGGTGGTGTTGTTGGGTTCATAAGGGCTACTGACAGCATAAGCTGTACATATAGTGGTGGTGGTGGTGGTGGCGGCAGCAGGGGCAGGAGAAGCCACCACTATTCATACAAACAATGTACGTAATTTATAAATAAGAAATATTTACACTTACCTTGGAGGAGATGCTGGCATTGGTTTAAGGTGGTCAAAGATATGCAGGGTGGCATACTATATTGTCAGTGGCCCTATATACCTCCAACAACATTGGAGGAGTCAGTTTCATGTCATCCTTTTTCTATCGTTTAATTGCTTAACTTACTTGCTACACTGTTAATGCTACAATTTATTGCTGGCTGGCACTATAGACTTCATCGACTCCTGCTGCTTTAATACCATACATATCGTAAAATCACAGAATCACTGAAGACACATTTTCCCCTCTCTCTTCCTCCTTCACTTTCATACTTTGCTAGTTCGTTCTTTCTTGAATTCAATAGTGTTTCTCACTTTCTTTACCAAAGGGCTGGCACTAGGAACTGTCTTTGGGCCCATGTTGGCTTATTTCGCAGTTGCACTCAATCAATAACCACAAAAACCAATGGATCACAGTGAAATGTTTGGATGAGAGCGTGGAATCTTCCTCGCTCACCCAGAGACACTGCCAGATTGACCTGCGAACGCAGCGGAGCGGCAGGTGGCTGCATCCAATATGGCTGATCTCCAAAATAACGGCCAATAACCGGGATAGAATTTCAGCTAAAAAAGCGGGCAAAAACTGAACTGACTGATATCCAGAACGGCCAATAACCAAGGGTCCACTATATAATGCAACAATTTTGCCCATTTCTAATCAATACTGTATATATAAGAGATTAAGGTTTACCTTTGCAATTGTTGACAAAGTATTTCCCCAATAGTCATGATTAATGTTGAAGATGTCTGATATTATGTTGTTTATGTCTCCTTGTTTGGTGTTGCCATCATCCACAAGGTTATAGATTTGGCCAGTTCTTTCCTTTTCACACAGGAACACAACAGCCCTGTAGAAATATCAGTTATATAAATTAAACTACTAGTAATTATAGCCAGAAACTATAATTATACAATTCATAATTTTCAATTTAAGTGATGTCAAATAAAGAAAATTTATGAATTTCAATTATATATAAAAAAAAAACTTTCATAACAGAACAGTACATGTATTTGCATTTTAAATGTATGCAAAATTTAACAATGGATACCAAACACAGATGTTAAAAACTGGTTAAATTTATTCATCCTATCTACTGGTCAGTAGGTAAGGTAATTTATGGCTTATCCCCCCCCCCTTTTTTAACACATTATCAGAGAACAGTCAAGATCAAAGCATCTACCCTCTTAATTATCTTCAGGATCAATGTACGAGAAAGCAGAAAGCAAACCTGTAAGTGAAAATTACATGATTTATGGTATTTATGCCAGAGAACTAAACCCATCACTTAAGACATGTCTACCATGTAAAATAAAAATATAATGAGTAGCCTCCAAGCTTGGATAATCAACAAGCAGCCACTGATTACCTCATGGAAATGCCTCACAAATTATCAAAAGTACAAAATGATCTAAAGTGCTTAGAGGCTATCATCATAAAGGTAGCACTAAGTACATCTTATTTTAACCTGTAATTATACACACCCTAAATACAGTATATTATATCACTATGAAAAATTTAAAATATTTCTGTACCTTCTTCAATAATCCATTCAGGAACCAAGAAGGGATCATGTATCTAATTTCCTTTTAAACCACCAGCTTCAGACCATCACCTTTCATCTTTCATATTCTATTGAATTACAGTGGTATCTTGGTACATGTCTGCTTTGGAAAAAGTCCAACTTGGTACATGTCCTGCTTGGATGCGAAAATTTTTGCTTGGCATATGAACATAAGAACATAAGACAGGAGGAACACTGCAGGAGGCCTGCTGGCCCATACTAGGCAGGTCCTTTACAATTCATCCCACTAACAAAACATTTGCCCAACCCAATTTTCAATGCCACCCAAGAAATAAGCTCTGATGTGAAAGTCCCACTCAAATCCAACCCCTCCCACTCATGTACTTATCCAACCTAGATTTGAAACTACCCAAAGTCCCAGCCTCAATAACCCAACTAGGTAGACTGTTCCACTCATCAACTACCCTATTTCCAAACCAATACTTTCCTATGTCCTTTCTAAATCTAAACTTATCAAATTTTAAAATCCATTACTGCGGGTTCTCTTTTGGGAGAGACATCCTCAAGACCTTATTAATATCCCCTTTTTTAAATACCTATCTTCCACTTATACACTTCGATCAGGTCTCCCCTCATTCTTCATCTAACAAGTGAATGTAACTTAAGAGTCTTCAATCTTTCTTCATAAGGAAGATTTCTAATGCTATGTATTAATTTAGTCATGCTACGCTGAATGTTTTCTAACGAATTTATGTCCATTTTGTAATACGGAGACCAGAACTGAGCTGCAAAATTTCTAGGTGAGGCCTTACTAATGATGTATAAAGCTGCAGTATGACCTCTGGACTTCTGTTGCTTACACTTCTTGATATAAATCCCAGTAATCTATTTGCCTTATTACGTACGCTTAGGCATTGCTGATTTGGTTTAAGGTTGCTGCTCACCATAACCCCCAAGTCCTTTTCGCAATCTGTATGGCTAAGTTCTACATCATTTAACTTATAAGTACTAGGGTTATGGGCACTCCCAAGCTTCAGAACCTTGCATTTATCTACATTGAACTGCATCTGCCACTTTTCTGACCAAGAATAGAGTTTGTTTAAATCCTCCTGAAGTTCCAAAACATCTACGTTTGAATCAATTATCCTACCTATCTTTGTGTCATCGGCGAATTTGCTCATATCACTAGTAATTCCCTCATCAAGATCATTGATATATATTATAAACAACAACGGGCCCAAGACAGATCCCTGTGGAACGCCACTTGTTACAGATCCCCACTCGGATTTAACCCCATTTATGGACACACACTGCTTCCTGTCAGTGAGCCATGACTCGATCCACGAGAGCACTTTTCCTCCAATGCCATGAGCTGCCACTTTCTTTAACAGTCAATGGTGCAGAACTCTATCAAAAGCCTTACTAAAATCTAAGTAAATAATATCAAATTCTTTATTGTGGTCAACAGCCTCAAAAGCTTTACTGAAGAAAGTTAATAAATTAGTTAGACAAGACCGGCCTCTTGTGAATCCATGCTGAGTATCATTAATCAAGCTATGCTTATCGAGATGGCTTCTTATAATCTCAGCTATAATTGACTCGAGTAATTTGCCTACAATTGAGGTCAGGCTTATTGGGCGGTAATTTGACGGTAACGACTTGTCCCCTGTTTTAAAAATAGGAGTTACATTAGCCATCTTCCACATATCAGACACTACACCTGTTTGAAGAGATAAATTAAAAATATTAGTTAATGGTTCACAGAGTTCCTTTTTTGCATTCCTTAAGAACCTTGAAAAAACCTCATCAGGACCCGGTGACTTATTTTGCTTCAGTCTGTCTATCTGCTTCACAACCATCTCACTAGTGACTGTGATTTTTACATAATTTATCTTCTTCTAGCCCACTGTAAAAATTAATTACTGGAATATTGTTAGTGTCTTCCTGTGTAAAAACTGAGAGAAAATAATTATTTAAAATCAAGCACATTTCATTCTCTTTGTCAGTAAGGTGCCCATAGTTATTTTTAAGGGGACCTATCTTATCTCTAACTTTTGTTCTATAGACCTGGAAAAAACTTTTTGGGTTAGTTTTAGAATCCCTAGAACTTTAATTTCATAGTCCCTTTTAGCTTTTCTTATCCCCTTTTTAATGTCCCTCTTAATGTCAATATACTGATTCATAAGATGACCCTCACCTCTTTTGATACGCCTATAAATTCCTTTCTTATGCCCTAGTAGATATTTGAGCCTATTATTCATCCATTTTGGGTCATTTCTATTGATCTAATTTCTTTATATGGGATAAACGCTCTTTGAGCAGCATGTATAGTGTTCAGAAAACTGTCATATTGATAGCTCTCTTCGTTACCCCAGTCAACAGATGATAAGTGTTCTCTAAGCCCATCGTAATCTGCTAAGCGAAAATCTGGGGACCGTTACTGAATTATCGCTACTATCGTACTTCCATTCAATGCTAAATGTAATTGATTTGTGGTCGCTAGCCCCCAGTTCCTCTGAAATTTCTAAATTATTAACAAGGGATTCATTGTTTGCCATAACTAAGTCAAGCAGGTTATTTCCCCTTGTAGGTTCTGTCACAAACTGCTTCAAAAAAACAATCCTGAAATACTTCTAAGAAGTCGTATGATTCTAAATTTCCCAGTCAAGAAATTCCAATCAACATGACTAAAGTTAAAGTCTCCTAGAATTACTACATTATCGTGCCTTGTGGCCTTAACAATTTCCTCCCATAGTAGTTTCCCTTGGTCCCTATCTAAGTTTGGGGGACGGTATATCACTCCTAAAATCAGTTTTTCATGCCCTCTGAAAATTCTATCCAAACAGACTCTGTATGTGTTACTTCAGACTTAATACCCGTTTTTATGCAACAGTTCAAGCGATCTCGGACATACAATGCCACCCCACCCCCCCTCCCAATACTTCTATCTTCTTGGAACAATTTAAAACCCTGAATATGACATTCCGCAGGCATGTCCCGACTTTTTGAATTAAACCCCGTCTCAGTTAAGGCAAATACATCAATGTTACCTACACTAGCAACTAATCTCAACTCGTCCATCTTATTCCTAGCACTACGGCAATTAGCATAATAAACATTGAAAGACTCTCCTTTCTCTTTACCCTTCCTGCTATTTCTATTTTCTACTAAACCTATTATGTCCTTATCACCAAGGTCCCTGGCTTTTTCAATATCTATCTCATTCTTATTATTACTAGTTCCCTAGAACTCGTAATATTACTACACTGGGATTCACTGTTTTCCTGCCAAAACCCATACCCCTAACTATTCTTAGTTTAAAGTCCTAACTGCTCCCTCCACTGCAGTTGCCAGTGCTCCCACCCCACACCTAGATAAGTGAACTCCATCCCTAGCATACATGTCATTTCTGCCATAGAAGAGGTCCCAGTTGTCAATGAATGTTACCGCATTTTCCTTACAGTATTTGTCCAGCCAGCAATTGACACCAATTGCCCTGGACAACCATTCATTTCCAACTCCCCTCCTTGGCAAAATACCACATATGAGAGGGTTCCCACCCTTACTTCTAATTATTTCTATTGCTGACCTATACCTGCTAATCAGGTCCTCACTCCTACGTCTGCCAACATCGTTGCCTCCAGCACTGAGACATAATAGGATTGCTCCCATTACCTCTCATGATGTCATCCAGACGGCTAACAATATCCTCCATCCCAGCCCCAGGAAAGCAAACTCTCTGTCTCCTACTCCTGTCCTTCAAGCAGAACGCCCTATCCATATGCCTAACTTGGCTATCCCCAACAACAACAATATTCTTACCTTCCTTAATGTCTTTCGTCGTGACGTTCCCAGTAGTCAACTCACATTCGTTGGGTAGCACTGAGAATGTATTGGATGTTTCCACAAACAGTTTCCACGAAAGTCTCTTTCTTCTTCATCGTTTCTACCTTTCCATTCGTCTTCTTGATCGTCAACTTCTTTCCCTGCTGTCCAGCCACTGACCAGTTTCCCTTCTTGACCTGAGGACTCAAAACAGGAGGACTACTCCGAATCTTTTTGTTTTCCTCGGTCAGTCGCCGAATTTCCGTATTCGCCAACCTCAATTCTTCCTTAAGCTGTTGGTAAAGTTGCTCGATGGAGGGCATCTTGCTTCAATTCTAGAGAGCGCGCAAACAGGTCTTCACAGAGCCAAGTACACATCAACACTGAGCCAAGTACACGTTTGTTTGGAATGCGACTTGCATGCTAGAACTTGTATGGGTCAAAATGGGTCACAACAGAGCATGCTACCCTTGTTTACCTCTCTCTCGAGACAAAGCCAC